ATTGACATAAATTCATGAAATAGTAGTTCAATAAAATTTTTAATGAGTCAACAAATGTGATGACATGGCCTTTGACCCATGACCAGTCTGGAGAGGATAAAACTTCAGAAATGTGTTTTGTAAATTTAAAACTGAGAAATAAAATTACTAAAGGTACTTTCATTTGAAATGGTTAATCTGAATATTGCATTAATGGATATTACCTAATTCATATTTTATAAATGCATATTTGTATTAGAAGTATAAGCATAAACACAATTGTGTTTTCACATATTTCTTGTACAGATTTACACATTGGTATGTAAGTTTCTTCTGTAACTATCTCTAATTTATGTAGCTTACATGTAAATGTCGAATAGATATGGCTAATGAATAAAAAAAACTTGTAGATTTAAAGAAGAGTTAAAGTTTAATAATATATGTAAATAAAACTTGAGTGATTGGATGAAACAGAGTTAAAAATTACTCATCTGAGCATTCTGTAATAAAGTATTTAACATCAAAAAATAAATATTTTAATAATATGTAAAAATATTTCAATGTACATGTATTAGAATTCACCACAGAATAGTTATTTGCATAATCCACCAGCAGAGATTTTCAGTGATGAAGTTGGAAATAGTATTTGAAATTTAAGAATGACCCTGCTTTACTAATTTATGTTTAGATTTAAGAACCTTCGTGAAGTTAAAACTTGCAAAAAAATATTTCATGACTTGTGAATAATAACTTCTGAGTGAAAGTAAAGAGTGTATAATAATGTGTCAATCACATAACATCTGTTGTATCTAGTGCTGATGAGGCCTTTTGCCCAATACCAATAGTAGTGGTTGAGATGCCATTTATAGTAGTAAATTGCTTAACCACAACTGTTAAAATGTGAAATGGATTAAGTTTGAGAAGTGTAATTTTTGTGAATATTTTTACTAAGTCACTACGTGTCAGAATTAAGGTAGGGGAGTATGATGGTGATATAAGGATGTGTGCCTATGTTTTACAACCATTTCTTTCACCACAGAATATGGACTATTGCTTTGCAGTGCCATTCATACTGCATGAGTCATTTAGGCAACTCAGTTACACCAAAGTCTGTGGGAAATGTCTGTAAATGTTATAGCATAAAATCTTGTTTATAATTCATCTTGCAGAGAAACTGTCATGTCAACTTGGATATGTGGCTGGAATATTGGTGGAGTTATCTATAGCTTATTGGCTTTCAGTCTGTACAAAGATGATATTTCTTCTTGGTACAGTTGTGTCAGCATTTTATCCTGATAATGTGCAGAATTACTTTTGGCATTTTCTTAATTCTCCAGTTGCTTTTATTTACGTTTATAACTGTAACCTGAAAAACTCTGGTCATGTGCTCTGTAGAGGGGGAAGGCACAGTGAATCATTGGTTACATGTAACTAAATACTGTGATTCTGTGATGATGTCATAAATTTTTATGTGCCAATAAGTAAGTCCTTCGGAAGATTTATTTTAAAACAGTAGGTTGAAGCTAATTTTGAAAGGTGAGAGAAAATGTTTTTCTACTATGAAAGTAAATTTTCATACTTCATATAATTTTCCATATTACAGAGATACTGTATGATATATAACTAATTTCAGTTATATATCATATAGTATCTCTGTATTATGGAAAATTATATCTGTATGATATATAACTGATTTCAGGACCATTGCAACATATGATAAGGGAAATTAATGACCATGTGCAACATATACATAATATACTTTGAAAGATTTGGATATTTCTAGCATGTAGTCCTACATCGGCAGAGTGGATCATTTTCATTAAGTGAAACCTAGTATCATGAAGGCCCTCTGTGAGTGCCTATCATTTTTAGTAGATATTGCTATTAACTATAGAAGTTGAGAGCAGTTGAGACTGGATTGTAATTGTGGATTTTGAGATTTGATTATTGATCAGTTATTAAACCTAATCCTTGTATTATGAAAGCTCTATGACTGTGAAAATTGTTTATCATTCATGTCTTCCTCTTCTGCAGTCATGCCTTCTCTTGCTTTATTGACACTATTCAACACCAGATATCCTTTTATTTGAAACACTAAAATTTTGTGCCTTGATTACTTGCAGTATATGAGAACTTCATGTTAGAACATCTTGTAACATAACCCTTCCAGAAACAATTTTAGCTCCATTGTTACTTTCAAATTACAATACTTCAGCCCAAAATGAAGGTCTGGTCTTTTAACTTGCATATTCATAGGCTTCACCATAAGCTGTGAGCATCCCCTCTGTATAACTGAATTTTTGTGATTATTGTAATTGTATTTCTTTTTAAAGTTTTTATAATAACTCTTGATCATTTAATCTCCTTTAAAAATATGATTAGAATATTGCTAAATATTGACTTAAAAAACTACAGTGTCTTAAAACCACATCAGTTAATAAACAAAAATTAACATTATTTAATCCAAACTAGAAAAAAAGTTGTCCTAACACTTTCTAGTTCATCTTTTAATCAGTTATTTGGTGTTGTGTGGATTATATTGTTAGCTCACCTTTTGATCCATCATGTACAGTTGTATGTCTAGCTATCACAGTTTCAAAAAAGTTGTCCAGACACTTTCTAGTTCATCTTTTAATCAGTTAATTGGTGTTGTGTGGATTATATTGTTAGCTCACCTTTTGATTTGTTATGTACTGTTGTATGTCTGGCTATCACAGTTTCAAAAAATTTGTCCAAACACTTTCTAGTTCATCTTTTAATCACTTAATTGGTGTTGTGTGGATTATATTGTTAGCTCACCTTTTGATCCGTCATGTACTGTTATATGTCTAGCTATCACAGTTTCAAGAATCACGAGGGAGAGTGTCACCTACACAGGAAGATGCTTTAGAAAGTGCACGTGAATATGCAGAAGAAGTAACCACACGGTTTTTAAGACAACGTTATAGAGCAGATGAGGTACATTTTTCTGTTAATTTTTCTTAAAGAGTGTGCAACATTGAAAGCAAAAAAGCTATTTAACATTTTTTCATTACTTTGTGTATATAAAAAAAATATATTTGTTTTGTTGAAGGCTTGCACTATATAAAAGTTTATTATAATATCAAAAAGCCCAAGAAAAAGAATTGTTTTTGTCATAAAATAAAGTGTTGATTTCTTAGAAGTTTGAAATTGTTATTAGTTATTAATCATGTTTTAATGACTAACATCAGATGTTTTTGATTGTTTTTTATACTGCCTTTGATGTTTTTTGTTAACCCTCTCACAACAGGTAGGTCAAAGTGCACATATTATGACCTTTTACAGAGTTTCATTCAAAATTTAATTAAGCTACTTTGTTATCAACACATATGAATAAATTTGGCATCAAAATATAGTTAATAAATCAAGTTACTACTATATGACTTAAGTTCTTAATCTTAACAATCTAGTATGAAAAACGTGACATTTGTTCTCTAGGTCTTTCCCCTTATCTAATTTATTTACCACCTCTCTGAATTATGGAATTTAGAGTAAATCACTAATTATAATAAGATATTACTAAGGTGAAGTCTGAATTTTATAGCCTTCAATCTTATTTGTTTATGGAGTTATACACCAGAAAATAAAACCTACTTACCACACCAATCTGTCACATCATCTCTTTCAGAAATTGCCAATAATTCACTGTAATGTTTTATACTATATCATTTATAACCAATAGAAAGGCAAAATTTGAATCTGTTGAATGATGTATAACACTACATTCTTTTCAGTATAGAATATTGTCAATTTCTTCTTCAGTTTGAAAGTTTATCTTGTGGTGTTCAGATCGAGCAGCTAAGGGAATTAACTTAATTAGAAAGCCAGTTTAATTATAATAGTAATAGGACATTGTTTGCTTTATGTGTGTTATTATTCTATATTCTTAGGTGCATTATTTAGATCAATAAAGATGTAGCATAAAAGTACCATTATTATGAAAAAAAAAAGAGGCTTAAATTTCATTGGCAACTGACAGGAAAAAAATGAGATTAAATACAAGTACTATATTTCTTGTTTTTCCTGCATGTTTTTTATTAAATGTCATAAAGGTAACTAAAATGTAAAAGATTAGAAACTCACTATGTTAGATAAGGTTAGATTAGGTAAGATATTGAAAAAAACAGTTATTCACAAGGTATGCTCTTGAACAGTTATTGTTATTCAGTATGGTAACATGAGCTATGCATTTGCCAAGTGATTTACAATTTGTGTGATGGGATTATTAGTTACAGTTCAAAGGGCAATAAAACAATAATAAACTTAAGTATAAATAGACTGTTAGAAACCTTAAGTTACTTACGATAATCAGTTGTATTTTTCTGTTATGATCAGCAATCATTTTTGAAAGAATAAATGGGTAATTTGGATTTATTTCTTATTTTTGTGGAAGTTACAAGATCGATCAAACAACTTGAGTCCCAATAGAGTTAGGGGTACAGAGAATAGCTGATAAAATATAAAGTGTTACTTAAAAAACGTTTGATATTTCTTTAGAAGGTTTTAAAAGTTACAAAAATGAAATGTGAAAATGTTCTTATGAAGAAAAGCATTTAAAAGTTTTAGTAAAAATGCTTAATTTACAAAAAATCGGATTTGTTGTGTATTAAAGATTCGTAATGTTTACTTGAAACTTGCCCAGTTTTGTTAAGCTATACAAAACATATAAAAGTTACAGTATGGAAACTGATTAATTTGTGGTTACAAGGTTGTTCACATCAACTGACTCCATATGGAAAGAGTTAACACACTCGCCACAAGTATGTGAAAGTGCATATGACATGAGTTTTTAAAGAGTTACGTCCAAAATTTAATTAAACTGCTTTATTATCATGGTACAGGAATATACGGCATCAAAACATAGCTGATAAATTAAACTTTAATATTATATAAGTTTTACATTTTTAATTTTATAAGGAAATGTTTAAAAAAGTCTTCAATCTCCCCTAGTATGAGAATTGTGAGATTTGCTCTCTAGATTTTCCTTATTCTCTAATTTACTCACTACTCCTCCGAGAAGCACGGAATTTAACATAAATGAATTAATCACTATAATATTGTTATTACTCAGGCAAAGTATAATTTTTATAGCATTCAATCTTATTTGATTACAGAGCCATAAACTAGAAAATTTCCAATACTTCTATAACGTTTAATACTATATTATTTATAACTGATAGAAATCCAAAGTTTTAATCTATCAAATAATATATATTGCATTGTTTTATGTACAGAGTATTTTCTATTTTGCTTCCGGTTTAGACTTTATTCCCATAGGAAACACATCGACAAGTGTAGCTGGATTTTTTACGTTTTTTATCACATAGTTAGAAACCCAGAAAAATTATGATAAGAACTAAAATGTAAAAATTAGAAACTTATTATGTTGGATAAGTTAGATAAAAAAAAATAAATGGTAGTAAACATTTTCACAAGGTATGCTTGCGAGCATCTGGCAATTAGCCCATGCATTATGTAATTTGATAGGATAATGTGAGCTACATGTCTGCAGAGTATTTTACACCTTGTATGGTGGGATTATCAGTTAGACACAGTTCAAATGGCAAAGAACAATAAAATTTAAGTACAAACAGATGTTTACTAATATGAGCTGTAAGCTATTTAGAATAAACAAATGTAGTTTCCTGTTATAATTTAAGTCATTTTATGAAAAAATGGGAGGTAATTTAAATTTATTTCGTACTTTTTTATGGGGTTGACCAACCTGATATAGAGGTAAGGTTGAGAGAAAATAACAAAATATGAAATTTTATTGAAAACAAATGTTTTAAATTTATTTAGGAGGTTTTAGAGATTAAGCAAATATAATTCGTCAACTTTCAGAAGAAGAAAAGTATTTTTAATCTTAATGTAAAAACCACTTAGCACTCGTAGCAGTCAACACTTTGACTCCATATATTTACGAAATAATTTTTTTGTGAAAATACCTCCTTAAAAACTCTGATTTATTTTCTACAAAAGGCTTGTAATGCTTACTGAAAGCTTGAAAAATTTTTTGAAGATACACAAAACATATTAGAAGTTTCAGTATGGAAGCTAAAGATCTGTTTGGGATCATGAACTTGGGCAATTTGACCAAGCCTGTAGCAAGAGAGATTTAAAAGTTATAGTATAGAAACTATACAAATGCTTTTAGTGATAAACAGTTTTGTGAAGAATACCCTGATTGATAATGTTTAGATTTGGAGAAAAAATTCACAACACAGTTAAGTTAGAAATGCCAGAAAAGGGCAAACTTGTATCTAAAAGGATGGACAATGTATGTGGTAAATACTAATTCATAATTTGCATTTAAATATATCTTAAATTCATTGTATGTCCCCACTAGATTCTTGGAGCTCGAGAAGAGGAGGACGAGTTTCCAGTAGAAGGTGAACAACCTAGGAACCTTGCTGTTCATCAGCCAAGTACGTCAGCCGGAGGAAGATATGAAGGTACTAGAAGCCAGACGAATGAATTCAGAGCAACTGTACAGAGGCTGTCATCTATCTGTGCTCGATTGGAACGAAGGATGTTTGAACAACAGTTCCTACACTTGCAAGGGAATACTGAATCTCTAGTTTCCTCCAGCACAACACCTGCTGACTCATCCCAGAGAGAAACGGAAGAATTTCCCCAGACTAGTCGACAGTCATCAATTTTAGATCCTAGGTATAATTTTTTTTTATTGTTTAATCCTTTGTACATTACTTTCATTTTACCAAGAAATATGGATTTGGCATTTATCTTCATCAAAGGTAGGAGTTCTATTTATAGACAATTTTATATCTTAGGAATTTTGGGGGAACTGTGAAAAATTAATGATGTTTCTTACATTACTATGCATATAAACCATATAAAACGATTTTTTTTTTGTAGTTTTATAATGTGCCATTTCATGGCAAGCATAATATCTGTTCATTCTCATCTATTGCCATTTTTTAAACCCACATTATTGTTCACTGCATGGCTTTATGATGGATGTTTTGTAATGCCAGTTTTCTTGAAATGTGGAGGTGACATAGCCCTCTTTGATGCAAGTATGTGAAAAATAAATAGGATTGGCAGTGGTGTGAAGAAAGATATTCTTTAAATAGGTCAGATGGACAGTGGGTATGGGAAAAATTATTTCCTAAACAATGTTTTTGTGTTGTTGTAACCGCTATTTGAAATATGGAAGTAATGGCAAAAAGATCCTTCATAATCATTATATAAAAGACTTTGCATGCCAAATTATTTTCAGCACAATTATGTAACCAGGTGCTGAGCTGTAGTGTATAAGTACAAGTTCAATTAAGAGAGTTTAGCTAAGAAAAATCAAAGCAAGACAAATGAAAATTCATACATCCACTTCAAAAGCAAGATTCCAAGCTGCCAGAAAATTGATGAAATCAGCAAGAAACAATTTTGAAAACAAGGTTGTTGTGCTGAATCCAGTGCTGAAGTCCAGAAGGGTGACAAAATCTACATGTGCAGTAATTTCCCCTATGCACTTGCACTGAATCTTCTTGGAATTGCATTGAAGAGACGTGTTCAAAATTTCTCGTTCGAGTTTAATGTGATGAGATTTTCATTTGTTAGTGAAACTTTTTTTTTACTCTTTTATGACGAATTCTTAAATGAAGGTGACTAATACTTAGTTCTATCTGAGTGATAATGTTATACACACATGCCTTATTTCTACTATTGTTTCTGGAGGCTTGTTAACTGTTGAGGACATTGCAGCCAATTTTTAATGCTTACTGGGCCTCCTATTCCCATTCTGTTGGCTGAAGTTCTTTCTCTTCTGTAAAGATTGATGTATTTCAAATAGACACCTCTGCATACATTTCTCATCCATCTTCCCCACTTCTGGGCACATGTTTTTTAGTTTTGCCTCATCAAAGGATGAAGTTATCATAAGTGTAAGTGTACAGGGATAGTTACTGTACATGGAGGTTGTGTCACTCTTATTGGTGTAGGGCTTTTGTCATGATGCACCAGTGCAGTTCACACTAAAACACATGAAGTTAAGTGGGGGGTTGCCTTAAGACTAGTGACATGCAAATCACCTAGGCAGATGCACAAGGAAGGTAGCTTTTCTGTGTACGATGGTGATTATCTATCAGAAATACATTTTTAGGTAAGGGAAATGTAAAGTTTTGCGATTATTATGCATAGTGTGTGTTCTGTAGGTTGTATATACATATCCGTTATATATTTGTAGTGCATGTGTTAAAATATAAACTGCTAAAAATCTTTAACTCTCTGCTCTGCAGCTTTCTTTTTTAGTTTTGGATACTCTGCTTTACTTCCACTCTTGTTAATTCACAAGTCTTGTTTCTTGGAGAAACAGATGAGAACTTCAGACTTATCTATGCCATACATTGTTAGAGGCACGTTATGGCAGACTCAAGAAATAGGATATCACAAGCAGTTTTAGAATTTAATGAACATTGTAATGTCATACAGTTTTATGTACTATCCCTGAAGAAGCTGCAAAGATGAAACATTATTTAAAATAGAAGTACCCTAATAATTATCAACAGTTGTAAACTGTAACATTATGAGTGACTTGTTTAGCACTCTTTTAGTTGTTTTTAGTTGCAAACTGTAGTGGGTGTACTTACCACTGAAGCCTTCATCCAATTGCCCTATTTGATATTCATATAAAAATATTTGTAAACAATTTAGAGCCAAAAGAAGCAATATCATGGAGAAGGAGCCTTTAATATTTCCATGGAAGCAGAACTGCTTGCACAATGGATTGCTGAGAACAGCCACATTGAAGCCAAAACCAGAAAAATGCCTTTACTCATAAAGTAAAAGCTATTGTCACAAAAGAAAATTCTATGACTAAAAAAACAACAAAAAAAACGTCATTGTGATGTTTCTTACTACTATTAATAAAGTAATAAATAAGGATTTCAAGTTGATGAAAACTGACAAGCCAAAGGTTCACAGACTTCCAGTTATACCTCAAAACAGTAACTGTTTTCATGAGGAAGATGTCCAGAGAAACTAGATCCAGCAATCTTATTTAACTGTGCACTTATCAAGTCATCTGTCATTGCTCCATTGGACTTTTGTGTATTTGGCCTTTCTAAACAATTTTGAAAAATGCCACCTGTACAAAGCGTAGGACCTGTGGAAAGTTTATCAACATGTATGGTAAAATATTGTCTTCACTGTTCTTCACTGGATGTTACATTGTCAAGCAGCAAAGATAATAATTGGTATTAGACTGAGTACTGTTGGCAACAGAGGAAGTAGTTCCAAAGGCAGCATGTGACCTGGAACATTGTTTTTGTAAACTGTGGTTAATTAATAAAAAAAATGGAGATATCCCAAATAAAATTAAATCTTATGAAATGGACTATGGTTAAAAAACAAAATAACTCAAGGCTCAACATTTCATTCCTGATGATACTGACTCGAATGTAATTTAAACCACATATTAGTGTTAGTTTTTTTTAGCTATATTTAAGTTTACCTTTTTCATTTTACTGAAGTCTGATTAACCTTCAGTATATTCTTGTGTGACATTATCTTTTAAATTATATGCATGTTGTTTATAAATCAGCTATTATTAGGTTATGTATGAACAATTTACACTTTTTTTTTCTGTTAAGAAAAAAGATTAAGTAATTCCTTTAACCCTTTTACATAAGGTAGGTCAAAGTACGCATGTCACAACCTTTCACAGGGTTACATTCCAAATTTAATTTAACTACTTTATTATCAATGTATACAAATAAGATTGGCATCAAAATGTAGTTAATAAATCAAACTTTAACTCTTTCAACACGGGGTTGGTCAGTTTGACTGAGTCACATGACCTTTTGTACTCATTTAAAGTCTTTGTAAATTTAATACTTATAACTCTCAATATATTGGGTATATCTTCACAAAATTTGGCAGTCTTTCAGGTAATATTACAAGTCTTTCACATACAAAAAGTCATATTTCTTAATGAAATATTTTAATAAAATAAAATAAAGATTTGTCCATGAGTATATTGAGTATTTTTTTTAATAGTCTGTGTGAAAAGTAATTTTCATGTTAAAATTAAAAATACTTTTCGTTATCTCAAAAATCTCAAATTTGCTTTATGTAATCCCTAAAACCTCCTAAATGCATTTCAAACTTTTTTTTCAGTAAAACTTTATAGTTTATCTGTTATTTTTTCTACCCTATCTCAAAACGGGATTGGTCAATTGACTGACCTCGTAACCACCAAAAAAAATACTAAATAAACCTAAATTAACCTTTTTTTTTTCTAGAATGATTTAAAATCATAACATGAAACTACATTCGTTTGCCCTAAGAAGCTCTAATTTCGTAACATTATACATCTATTTATGATTAAATTTTTTGTTTTATTGCCCTTTGAACTGTGTCTGACTACTGTCAGTGTCATTATAAGTTATAAATCACTCTGGGAACGTGCAGCTCATGTTACTGTATGGAATTACATTACTCTTGAGCTGCTCGCGTGTGTGCCTCATGAATCATTTTATTATAAGTTATAAATCACTCGGGGAACATGCAGCTCACGTTACTGTATTGAATTACATTACTCTCAAGCTGCTCGCATGTGTACCTCATGAACAATCTTAATTATATTATTATTACATATTTTACCTAGTCTTAAACAAAAAATCCATATTTTTAGATTTTAGTTACTTTTATAATAATAAATAAAAAATATAAAACAAGAAATAAAGTACTAACCCAAGAGTACTAACAAGAGTTAAGCCTGATTTGTTATAGTGATTATAATAATGCATTTTTTTATTTAATAAAATAATACACCAAAGAATATAGAGTAATAACATGCAAAAAGTAGACAAATTCACTTACTTTTCAAAATGTTCGTGGCTTGTTAACTATGCGACAAGAGCCATTACAAATTCATCCAAGCTAGTCGTTAACTTTCCCACAGGAACGAATCTTGTACTTTGAGTGAAATTGATGATAATCTGTTCAGAATACAACGTTATACAATAAGTCATTTGATAGATGAAAACCTTTACTTTCTATTGGTTATATGTAATATGTATAATGAAACGTAAGAGAGAACTATCAATGAATTCTGAAAGAGAGGATGTGACAGGTGGGTGTGGTAGGAGGGGTCTGATCTTCTATTTGATAGCTTTGTAACCAAACAAAATTCAAGTTTCATGTTACAATTTGAAGTCATTCTAGAAAAAAGGTAATTTAAATTTATTTTGCATTTTTTTGGGGTGGTTATAAGGTTGGTCAAATTGACCAACCTTGTATAGAGTTAGAGTAGAGAAGATAAAAGATAAAGTATAAAGTTTTTAGAGATTATGAAAACGAAATTTTAAAATAATTTTCAGATGAAGAAAAGTATTCTTAATCTTAATACGAAAATCACTTTGCACGTGGAGCATTTAGCACTCTAACTCCAATAAATTAAACAGAAAGTTTTAGTAAAAATACTTCATTAAAAATTCTGATTTTTTGTTTACAAGAGTTTTTTTAAGTTTACTGATAGCTTGCCAAATATCGTGAACATACAATAAGTACTTTCAGAGTTATAGTATGTATACCACCACGGTCATGTGGTTGTTACAAAATGCTGCAAAATACATCAGCCCATGGTGGAAAGATTAGTACTTTTTCTTTTTTAGAGAATTTCCAAAGAAATTGGTAAATCTATTACTAAGTGCACAGCTTAACACCAATAAATGATTAAAAGCATCATATATGAGATTTATTTGGTAACTCCAATCCTATTATATTTTTTTTCATTGACATTGACTTGAACGTGGGTTAATATTTATTTTAGAGACACTTCAACTTCAATATCACGTTTATATGTAACAATAAAATTTTCTTTTGTAAATTTCTTAAACTATTAAACAAAAGGGTAATTTTTAAGTAAGCATGAATATATACTACAAAGCAGCTTGGGTATATATATATATATATATATATATCTGTTTGCCAATAATGAAAATTTTCCAATTTTCTGATCTCCAACCACTATGAAAATTTTAATGGTTCTTGAATATACCACAAAAGGAGTAAAAAAACCCATGCCTTTTTTAATTTCTGTTTTCCCCTTTACTACTGCTTTAGTTTCAGTCTGGAGGCAGAGCTGTGCTGCAGATAGTGAAATGACCTTTAGTGAAGGTTAGTTGCAAGATATGCAGGGGATAACTCTGAATAACCAGTCATGGATCAAATGGTGGCAACACCAGGAAGGTCTGGAAGTCCTCAGTGATGTAGCAGTCAGAATCTCAGTAGCTGTGAAGACAGATGAAGACTGCAGCAGAACAAAACCACAGATTGTCTTGGTCTCCTAGCCATTAGATTAAGGTCTCGTTCTGTCAAGAACCATGCAGAAGTCAGTGTGCAACAGCTTCACAATAAAAGAAGTCACACATAGGCATCTTTTTTGGAAACAAGGCCAATAAGATGAAGTACAATGTCAACACCATCTCTTTGGAAACTGTTGCCCAGAGCAGCCTAACATGGAGTAGGTGTCTACTGTAATGATCTCCACATTTTGAAACTGTATGATGACAATAGGAAACATAAAAGGAGGAATGTCAGAAACAGTGTTTCATGAATCAGACTGACAGTTCCAGACCACCTGTTACACTCGAAAACACGTGCCCAAGCTGCAATGTTCTGTCATTCCCAGATCAGTCTTATCAGTCATTTTTGGACCCACAGATAAGATCATCATGGAAGACTATCATCCTCGAATGTGAGGGACTGCCAGTCAGTTTGTTCTGGTAATTGGCGTGCATGCATGCACACACACAATCTGTCATTCCATCCACATGAAGGCAATAAAATAAATGCCTCACTAGGCATGCTAGCTAGATTAAATCATCTGAAATACACAAAGGTGAAATGTAGCATATTTGATTTATGAGTACAATTACATGTTCTGGTCACTTAACTAAATTAGTTTAATATTAGAATAAGCACTATCATAATGGAAAAAAAATGCATTTTCACAAAGCTAAAATTCAAATATTATGTCTCATTAGAAGATGATCCATTGTTTTTTCTCATTTTGAAGTTAAAAGCTTTTTTTTGGCTATGTGTCCATATTGTGAAAAGAGTCAAATGGTAATCAAAAGGCTCCATCTACCATCTTCTATACATCTGTGATTCCATGAATTTATATAACCAGTTATTTTTCTTGATTTAGGGGTCATCCACTATTGCATCGTGAGATGACTACACAGTTAGGACAAGAATTTTCTCTCTCTCTTGCTGACCTGCTCAGAAGGCTACAAAACTCACTTCAAAATCTTAGTCAAACTACTTTTGCTTCTTCTGAGACTTGGGAGCAAATACAACAGGTATTTGTTAATTTTTATGCTATTGAACTAAATGTAAAGGTAAAAAAATAAGCCTGATGATAACCATGATGCTGAAACATTAACTGTCTACAAGTACATTGTTTAACTTCTTTCTTTGGTTGTTTTGTGTCATAGAAATCATAAAACACTAGATACAGTATAGTGTTAAGGTCCAGCACTGTTTCCCACTAGACCATGTGAGGCTGTCATTGTGTAATAACAGTTAACATTTTCCTAAATTGAAAATGTATTTCCAATAATACTTACCTCCACTGACACTTATAGCTATTACTCGACTGCCAGGGTTTGTTCTTTGCTCATCTAAGCATTGATCTGATTTTTTCTCATTTGTTCCAGTCTTTTAGAACCTACTCAGTTGCCCTTGGCGATATTTGTCTCGTGATACTCTCCATGTACGTCAATGCGCCCTCTATCCTGGTACTGTATATAAGCACCTCATTCAGATAATTTTATCACTTTTTCGAGACAGATACTATCCCAGTTTCTAACACTGGATCTTAGTGGAGAGTGTCAGCGGAGGTAAGTATTATTAGAAAAACATTTTCAGTTTAGGAAAATGTTAACTTCCAAAACATGCGTACCTCTGCTGCCATTTATAGCTAGAATCCTGGTGGAAGGGCCAGTGAGAGCATTATCCATACATAAAGCATCTGTATAGAACAGAAATGTACCAAGATAAAGATGGTACATGAGTGGGGGAACTGCACTACATCCAGAACAGGTATGCTCTTCCCCCTGAACATTGTTCCTGTATCAAGGGTGGAATAGTACATGAGTAAACATCACTGTAGGCTAGCCCCTACCAGAGAGCTGAGGTTCCACAACTAGGGGTTGAAATTAAGAGGTGGTCCCTACATCCCATGTTGGTGGCTAGGGCAATTGGACCTCAACATTATATATAGATATACCTTTGATTGGATCCCAACCTGTAGCCATAGTGTGATGCATTCCAAACCACTGGAATCATGACAAGAAAGTAAGCAACACCAACGTGAACAAACCTTCTCCTCCACCTGAAGAAGCCCTAAAGGCAACACCCCAGGCTTGGAATGATGGGATCGTGTATGCCTTATTCAACCAAAGGAACAGAACTCATCCAGTCTGGAATTATGAATATTCATCTTAACTCCCCAACTAGGTGGGCAAAGAACCTTCCACTTAACCCTAGAATTATGGAGAGGACGTGCAACAACTGTGCTCAACCAAGGACCCAGGATTGGACCACTTCGCTTTTGGAATTATGAGGAGATAGTGGACCTCCTTCCATGAACTGATATTGATCAAAATGAAGGGCAGTGCACACTCCAATGGTATAGCTGATCATCAAATCTGAACCAGTACTACAAGTAGGATAAAGCTTCCTCTTCTCCAAGAGTGGAGGAATTCACTCAAAATACTGGAGAAAAAGTCTCTGTCCACCACTCCAGTGATTGGAAACTGGGTGTGGTAAGGACTCCATAGCTCCACTAGTAGAATCTGGGAGGTAATGTGCATTGAGGAGTGCTGAGGAACAGTGCTCTGGAAACAGTGCAATAGGTGAACCAAGTTCCCTAACTTTTTAAAACCAAACCAACCCCAATTTATTCAATCCAATGATTGGCAGGGATGGGCAGGATCCCCTTTAGCTTTACTCATGATAGTCAATGAGTGGCAATCCAGCATAGTATGGTAATACCATCTGGTGAGCTCCTAGATGGTTTTATGGAACACCTCATTTCTACAGAGCCTGTTGCAACTGGTAGTAAGTATAGTGAAAATTGGTTGCTAATGTGGAATTGGATAGATAAAAGCACACCTCTCTGGGCAATACTTGCCACAAAGTGGGATCCAGTGAAAAAAAAAGAGGTAAGTGACCTTGGAAACTAAAGAGATAAGAGGAGGAAAAAAATACTCAACCCTCCTTATAATCTAGCAGATGTGGTCAAAATGGCCACAGGGGATAGGGGAAAACCCTCAGAAGAAGAAACTGCCAGATCGAAGTCCACATACCAGTCTGCACAATGTCCTCCAGTGGCAATTTATTCAGGCAGCTAAAGACATAGAAATGTGATGAATCTGATGAGACATGACTCACAGAAGTTTCCTCGCTTGTAAAGAAAGTCCAGAATAAGCAGTAAGCCACATTGTCAAGGTAATAGGGGATAAATCCTGGGAAACTAAACGATCCCAGTGAATAAAGAGTCAATTCCTAGCACTTGAAAAGGAGTTAGTGCGAGCCACTTAACACCTCAGGGCTCTGACAGGACATAACAAGCAATCGTACAGGTGAGAAATAGCTGGCAAATGAATTGGCGAGAAGGATTTATCCCCTTCTCTGGTTGCCAGAGTATTAGGAAGAAAGGACTTATCAGGGTATAGCAGGACATAAGTCGAGTGATAAAGAGTCCTGAGCATATATAGTGCAAACAGCTCCAACCTATAAAGTTCACATGCCAGCAGCAACAAAAAAATACATTTTAATGGAAAGGTGATACATAGTACATGAGGCTAAAAGCTTGTATGGATGTCGAGACAAAGCATATCCCAGTTAGGAAACTGAAAAAGGTCTTTTGGGACCAAGGATACAAAATGATTTGATAAGGCTGGATAACACTGAGGACTTGAATACTTTTCGATGTTTAGAATACTGAAAAGTAGTAAATAAAGCTATCTTATATAAAGAAACATTAGACAAAGCTAGACCTTTGTCAAAAAGCTAGGTCAAAAAATGTGATATAGTGAGCACATTTCGGTGTTGTGGGTTCAATTTCCTCGTGATACACCATTTGTGATAAATGTGCCATTTTGAGTCTATGGATAAATTGGGACAAATACAAGGCGACTTTAGAAGTTAAACCCCGATGCCGTGTGACGGACTTGTGATGGATTTATTATTCTATATTTATTTTAATATCAATGTTTAAATTTAACTTATATTTAGAAGTGTACATAAATTATACTGTTAAATATGTGTTGCAAAACTCCTGCCTATTCTCTATAGTTGTAGAAGATTCTCTAGTATAAGAATCAACAAAATATGTATGTATGTAAATGCTAATATAGCTTTGTATTGTTACAAAATCTGAATTTTCAAGAAACCATCTACACACCTATAAATATAACCAATGAGATGTGCCAAAAAACAGTATCTATTATTGGTTTGCAATGGTTGTTGGGCTATAAACTTTAGAAGCTATAACTGTGATTGTTATAACACTTATTAATCGGGAAACTTAAGATATTTGACCAGGAACGTTTATAAATTTCAAACATTACAAACCATTTAACTTCAATGGATTCACATTGGACATTAGTAGTTTTACGAAAACATTACCTAACGTCATTGGTAGAAACTCAACCTGTAATTGGCATGTGATCAGTGAGAATTATAGGGCTAGCTAGCTCCCTGTTAAGTGAATTATACTTACATCAACTCGAAATTAATTTGCTAATCATCAACCCTCGATATGATATCAAAGAAGTTCCAGGCTTGAGAGAAGATTTTATATTTCTGGTAAGTTTGTGAAACTTTTGTATATAAATCATTGTATTGTTGTTTGTATATTAAAACTGTGTGTATCAATCTTGTTGGCAAATATCATAAATTGGAGATATATCAGCAAATATATAACTACTAAGTCGAAATTACAATTTGACTCAGTTTTAACCCATTTGAAATTGTAATATGTAACAGACTACATAACTTCCATACATGAAGTTTGAGCTTGGGAATGTCTAGATGTAGAATGTCAGATCATGGTTGCCTCAATAGAGATGGCCAAAGATGAAGTGGCAGAGGTGGAAACTCTTGAAGATACTGTAGAAGAGGAAACCATGGTTGGGCCAATCAATTCAGGGCTACCAACAGCACTCAACAAAGAGTGAATCGAACTATAGCCAGAACTCTGGGTAACAGATGAATGGGGGGGGGGAGGCATAGAGGTGTAATCCTGTCCAATCTTGACTGAATGTATCCATTGCCAAAGCTTGAGGATGAGGTACCAGGGGCCAAGTGTCTGTAGTTGAGAGTTCCAATGAGTGACGAGTGTGTCAATTATTAGAGTCCCAAACTGAGAGCAAAACTACTGGAAAAGCTTGCGATGGAGCATTAATTTGGTCAAGAGAATTTGTTTGAGCCAAGACAGGTGTTCTTCCATTAAATTCATCACCCCTGTAATAAGTGTGCCTTTGACAGAAAATGAAAGGTACCACCTATGAATTGTCGATTTTTTTTTCCCCTTTAGTAGAGCTAGACCTTGCATTATTGCCTGTTGGACAGCAAGAAATTCTAAAATATTGATGTAGAACGAAGATTCGTCATCCATCCATGGGCCCTGGAATTTCCGACCATCAATATACACACCCCATCCCTGAAGTTAGGCATATGTGAAGAGATGAATCTCAAGATGAGGGGGCAGTAGAGGAACACCAATGGCAGTGTTGGTCTGATCCACCCACCACTCGAGATCTAAGATGTTGCTCCTGGGTAAGAGCCTGACTGCCTGTTCCATATCCTTCAGCTGTATGGGAGTCAGCTGAGTCTGACTGAAATATGTGTTGAAAAAGACACCCAGATGGACAATGTATTCAGTTGGCAAGAGAATGGATTTCTTGGTTCTGAAAGAAGAATCGGGGTGTGTTGTTCCGTCAACTGATGAGATGGTGCCAGAAGTAACCAGTCGCCCATATAATGATGTGTGCACAGGCCCTAAGAAAGAAGGTAACAAGAAAAAGCTTGTATGGCTCTGCAGAAGACATATGGTGCAGATGCTAGGCCAAAGGGCACAGCCCTGAACTGCAGAACTGAACCCTTGTGTACAAAACAGATAGCTGTAGGATGTCTTCGCTATGGGAATATGGAGATATTCATTGGCAACATCAAACTTGGTCATCCGCAGACCTAGTGAAAAATGCCAACATATGTTCAGGAAGGACTCCATTGTGAACCTGGGAGGATCTAAGAATTGGTTGAGACGAGAAAAATTGATGATTGGATGCCAATCTCCTGTCTTCTTGTGCACAACAAACAAATGGGAATAAAATCCCAAAAGAACAGATTTGACCATCTATACTTTCTCCTTGACCAACAACTCTGATAGTCCAACCTCAGTGCCAGAACCTTGTGTACTCATAAAGCTGTTGTGAAGGAATTCCAGACGTCCAGAAAATGTTGTAACCTCACTCCCACAGACCCCACCTGCATAGGGTATTCCCCAATGTCATTGGCAATGGTCTGCAAGAGCAGAGGAGCCTCTAAGGTAAGGACAGATTTTATTCTGAGTACCAATATATTGAGAAGCTGAAGCTGGGACACATGACTAGTAGTTGTGCCATGACTTTCATCAGGAACCAAAGAAAGTCTAGAAGCCAAAGATGACAAGGAAAATGCAAATAAGCAACATCAATCCATGATTCCAATGCCTCTGGAACACCAGAAAACATCAAGGGACAAAGAAAAGGAGCCTCACATAACTCACAGAGGACTACAGCAGGTAAAGGACCTCCCTCCAACAAAGCATCTCTACTCAATAAGTTCCAACAATGCACAAGCCAGGAAACCAAAGAAAGAGGAGAAGCTGACAATCTAACCAAAGTAGAAGTCACCAAAGTATCAAATTCATTATCAAATTGATGTGGGGAATGCTGAAAGGCTTTTGACAAAATTTGGAGGGAAGTTAAATATCTCAGAACAGTAGTGAAGGTCAGTGAAGAAAACTGTGATTTGTTCAAAGTGATCACAGGGTCCAGTCTGAAAGCCCACATGTCCAAAAGAGGATCAAGTCTTTGGGAATCCAAATATATGTTCTCCTGGCAGTGGTAAGTCAAACCATGCTGTTCCAACAAACATGGGGGACAAGGCATAGCTATTCTGTCATGTAACTGAGCAATAAATCTCTCAGCATGAACAGCAATATCAGATGAAAGTGGAAACTAAGTAGCTGCCCTCAGACCTTTCTGCCATCAAAGAAGGAGTATATTCAAAGGCAACCAGGGAAGTACCAAAACCTCACAAACCTAATTGACTAACTGAAGAAATGGAGCAGGAGGTGGCTAATCAAAATTGGTCTTGTGAGAAGTTGACCTAGTAATTGAAGGTGCCAGAAAAAGAGAGTCCAAATTCTCTTCAGAATGTTCTGGATCATTGGCAAAAGCAACCTCAGAACCCCCCAGAAAGAAATCCTAGGACCAAATATATGTCTCCATCTCACAACCTGGAAATTCATGGCTGAAAACAGCATGTCATATAAACAAAAGTTTTTCTGTTATAGAATTATTAAATATAACTTGTACAGTAATCAACTAGGCGATGCAAAAATTGAAACCAAGGACGTTAACTATTGCAGGACTTCTTTAGAGAAAAAGTGATAACATTATCTGAATGAGGGGATTATATACAGTACCAAGATAGAGGGCACATTGATGTAGCTGGAGAATATCACAAGACAAATATTGTCAACGGCAGTTGAGTGGGATATCAAAGACTGAAGTAAGTGAGAAAAAATCAGACCAATGCTTAGATGGGCAAAGAAGAAACCCTGGCAGTTGAGTAATAGCTATAAGTGGCAGTGAAGGTAAGTATGTTTTGGAATAAACATTGCTGTGTCCAAGTAGTGGCTGCATATAGTACAATACTTTTGAACTCATTTTATTTTAGGAAATATTGAAAGCTTAGTTTAATATTCAATGTATATCATTAAGTTTGGCATCAAAATGTAATTTTTATATTATCTGACCTTTGACATCTTAATTTCTAAAATACTTCTCCATGTCAAATGATGCATCTGTGTTCTTCATTCCCAATTTAGTTTTTCTTACCGTCCTTTTGTGGGATTCAGAGTGTACTATAGATACTCGGAAGCCAGAATATAAAATTTGAATATCTGATAGTCTTGTTTTACTAACATATCATTAAATTTAGACATCCACATGAAATGCCCTTCTGTCTTTATCTTTCAGGACATGTTTATAATTCTCTCTCTTGATATTGGACATGTTTATAACTAATTGAAAAAGCAACATTCAGTGTACCACCCTCGTACTTTTCTTTGTTTATATTTTAGCGAAAGAGCCAAAAGTTTCTGAGCAAATGTTATGTGTTGAACAAAGTCAATACTCTGAACAGCTAACAGAATCTTTTTTGACCTATTGGTAGCTTAACTAGAAAGCCAGTTTAATTAAATTAAAGTTTTCGGACATTTTATTCTATTGCCTGTGAAAAAGTAGTCTTATCAACATATGTTCTTAAATACAAAGAGACCTTTAGCTAAGGTATGTGGTAGCTTTTGTGCTTTTTATGTATATGTTTTTTATTTATTGTAATATTTTTAACAAAGTAACTGAAATGTAAAAACTAAATACTTGTCAGGCTAGATAATAAAAATTAAATAAATAATTCTCATGATCACTCTTTGAATGTATGCAACATAAATTTTATGTCACTTGATGTGACTTGATACTTTTTACCCTAAGCTCGCTGCTCTCCTTCCAAGTAATATATTGGTTGTCAGGGTACAGAAGATGGTTCAAAGTACAGTAATAAAGCAATAAACTACAAGAAAGAAGATGCTGAAATGTTACAAAATTCATGCTGTTTGGATAAATAACTATAATAGTTTATTACAGTCTGCACTCATTTTAGGAAAACGTTTAAAAAAGGAAGTAAATGTAGGGATGGCTGATATC